GTACACCTACTTAAAGGGAATAAAATATATTAAAAAATAAAAATAACTATTCTTTCCTCTTACCTTTACCATGCATTTTTCCCATGCACTCAGCAACAATCCCTCCACTTTCTCATTACCACCTACATTTCATTTCTGCAATCTGACTCTACTCCATACATTCCTGAAACTGTGCTTCTTTAAGAAGCAAAGTTTTCATCACATCTGGATCCCTTTTTGCTAGTCTTCTCATCCTCTCATCACAAGTTAGTGCCACAAGCAGAGTTACCTTCATTCCTGAATGGGAGTGACTGACTATCCTAGTCTTTCTGGCAACAACTTCTCACTCTCTCTCCACTGTAAATAAATATAGGTGTTTTCCAAAGCCAAGCTCTTCATTCTTAATTTGTTACTTTCATCCTCTCCTACAGCTTCCAATATCATCACAAAGCAAAACTCATCACTTTGGAGCCAGACACTGTGTGTGTTTAGTGGCAGGAAATGAAAATGACAGTAGCAATGACACTGCAACTATGTCAAAAAGACAAGGAATGATGAATGTGAAGCATGTGGTACTCTGCCTGGAAACAGTATAAAATCAGATTTAGAGCCTTGAGAAACTTTCCATGGATTATATTTGAATAATAATTTTTCCTTATGATCCTTCCCAGTGTTTTAAGTTTCACTCATACCTTGTAAAATGCTTAATGTCTATTTAGTCTTAATGAATAAGTAACTACTTTGACATACATAATGCCATATTATTCATGTTATAATCCTCTAAGATATCAGAAAGATTACTATTTTTGTTTTCATGCTCTGAAATGATATAATAGAGAGGAAGACAAATCCCTCTGTTACTACTCAGTTTATTTCTATCACCTTTCGGAAAATAAAAGAAGCATAAACATTATAAGCATAAACATTAACATTCAAGAGTATACAAAAATGAAGCATGAGATATATACTTGTAGACCCATCTACTGGGAAGATTGAGGCAAAAGGGTATTATTTGAGTTCAAGAGTTCCAGAGCAACATGAGCAACATAGCAAGGAAACCTATCTCAAAGGAAGAAAAAAAGGAAATCGAACTTACACACAGTAGGTTAACTTACTTTACAAAAATCAAAGATTTTCAGTAATACTCTTCTACTTGCATAGTAAATAAGAGTGTATTTGGAATTATTGCTGGATGTGTTTTAAATCTCTATTCAAATAACGATAGGTAATTAAAATGGAAATCTCTAACTTTTTTACATTCACAACTGACTTAAACTTAAAAATGGCACTTTCCAACAATGCATAAGTTGTTATTTCAGTTAATATGTATTATCACTCACAAACACAAGATTAAAAAATCTTTTAGCTATTTTTAATTTGGAAAC